AAGGTACCTGGAATAAAATTTACTATAGGACGTAATATAGAAGAGGGCTTAGTACAAACTAACAGAAATTTCAAAAAGTTGTTTGAGTAAAGTTCATGTATAAGTGACTCACTTGACAGTAGAACCGGATCCAACTCCCAATCGACAGCCACTTGCAACATTCTTTTCAGCACATGTGTACGCAGCCTGGAAGGCTAATACTGTGAGAGATTCGGGAATATGGACAAAAGAAAACGAATAAACGTAGTAATTTATTCTTGAGCTTTGTGCGAGTCCAAATTAACAAATCAATTCTTCACAAAAGAAAGCCAAGTAGTTCTAACCTGTCGTTTAGCTTTGTCAATAGGTGATAATTCAGTGGACGACACCATTCTTCGAATAGAAGCAGTAAGTAAACGAACTTTCGCCACTGTGATGAAACTGGAAAGATGAGCGATGAATGAAAAAAAATGTTTGCAAAAGGGATAAAACGTGATTGTTGGAAAAATCATGAACAATCGATAGATTTAATCTACTAGAACGGGAGAATGAAAGTATGCACTAGAAGGAAGGGCTGCACTGGAAGATGCCTGGTCTTTGAAGTTCTTTTATACTCAATTGAAAAAGTAGCAAATAAACACAGCAACTGAGCATGAGCTTGCCGCCACACAGCTGTTCATTCTGCAGCAATGGTGGAAAGAGAAAAGGAAAAAAACTCCTAAGGTGGTGATCACTATAAATACTACTAGACTGCAATATAAAAGAAACTCCACACATTTGAACTATGCTATTTACCACCCTTGAAACCTATATTCACATTATTCCCACAATCCCTAACAGTTTGGTCGAAAACTAAATGATTGGAAAAGAGATTTTTAGCAATGGCTCTATGAAGGTAAAATGCAACGTGAATGAGTCTTACTGCTGCACTAACTGCACTAACAAGTGTGAAACCTGCAAGGATATATGGAGGAATAAATAAGAAGACATAAAAAAGCAAATTCCAGTCCTAGAAAAACTTCAACTTTTCATGCAAGCCTATCTTCAAGGCAAGCTGCATTTATTATTGTAACCTCACGGTCCACTTGCCGTTTTCTTTTTTCTCAAATACTGAGAAATTATCTCATACGTACCGTTACCAGTAGCACTCAAAAAATATTCCTACCATGAAGTTTTAACCGAAAGAAAGATCAATTCCAAATTCACTCTTG